AGTCCAGACTTCTTAAGTCACAATGTAAAGACTTTTTCCATATTATCACTTGCTAATGAAAGCAGCTTTTAACAAGATCTACAGTGATGAGGAGGCTGGTGGTTTAAACTTTTCAGGATCTGGTGATATCCTCACCTTTGAATCTCCGACTCCATTTTCAGTTAAATACGCCCAGTAAAGTTCTGCTAAGCATCTTTCAACATTTCTTCCCAACGATGTCATTTACTGAAGAATTGCCAACAGAAGAGGTAGTCTCACGTTTTTTATTTTATTAAAACAATACCCTAAATCACTTTCTCTATGTAACTGACACTTTTCAGTAGCTAGAGTGCCAAGAGGAGAAACTTTGGAGTCAAATGAGCTTTTGTTTTGACAGTTTGCTTTGGAGGGAGGGTTATTGATTTCTTCAAAGAAAATATTGCCCCAGGAGTCTAAATTGGATGGGCGGTTAGACCTGCATTTCACAGTTCCTTCCCTAGCCCATCCCTAACATGCTTAAAATTCTCCACAGCAATTGTTTGTGTTAACAAAATACTCCAAAGAGCTCCTTTCTCAGGGTAGTTTGAGACAATGTGAAGGAGCCCAGGCATGCAGAAACCAGACTGTGTGTGGGGACCCACACCACCAAGCTTAGAGATGCATTGTGCTCTGCAGCTCATGTCCTCCTGGGGTCTCAAGAGCTGACGGACTCAGCAAGTCCATCTGACACAGTATCTTCATCAGCCTTCTCCTAAGTGTTTGTTCACTGTTATTGAATCATTTCTTCCCCCTCCTCCAAAGCATTGTGGCATTCCTGAGGACAGATTTACCTGCTGCCCTGGATTCAAATTTCACTCCCGCTTTTTAATTTGTTATATAGAAGCTTTTAGAATTTGTGTGCAACTACAAAGAAATATTTTAAAAAAAAGCCTTTGTGACATACTTAGAGTCAGCATAATCTATACCAACAAAAACAGTTGGCAAGAGGTTTGACTCAAGATAATGAAAAGGCTGTGTACCCTTCCTCATTCCTGTTCATAGTCACTCTCCCACCATTTCTTCCAGTTGCTTATCTGAACACACTGAGCAAATCCAGAGGGCCAGAAAGACAGAAAGGCTGCTTTGTAGGGCTTTTTTTTTTTACTTTGGGACAATTACCTATTCTTCTGTAAAATTGTTGAAAAAATATTATGATACAGAAAAGAATTTAAACTGCAAGAGGGAATTACACAATTTCCCCAACGTAACCACCAATGAAGATATAAATAGTCTCTATTTCCTAGGATTTTGAACAAGTATAGAAGTATGTACTAGATATCCCCCAAGTAGAAAGCATACGTTTTTCTTTTTTTTGCATTGACATGGCCTGAGAAATACCCTCCAAAAAATTGTATGCAATGTTCAGAGTTTAAAAATTTCTTCTCTTAGCCATTTTTAGGTGCTGGGGTCATTATTCTTTTCCTTCTACTTGTTTCCAAAGTTTTCTGATTTTCCACTTGTTTCTACCTCTTTCTGTAGAGACTTTCCTGCCAAAATATTGTTTGTGTCTTACACATAAAGAAGGAGAGCACATGGCCAAGTGAACTTGGAAAGAACACGAGAGTCTGGTCAGCATACAAGTGTCTTTCATCTTAAACCAGAGCTATATTGTGTAAGCATGTTGTTTAAAAATGGTACATCCTTTACCTACAGCAGGAAATATCTGTACTGTCTGTAGCTATAAATGCACACATGTATGCATTTGGAGGTTATTCTTTTTCAGTGGTATTGCTTATTTAATTTGGAGCACTGAGATACCAGGACATGGTCACCTGAAGTCCACTAGGAGGGTTCTCAGCTGTACCTCATGTACCTTCTTCATGTAGATAAGATGATTTTCTGGCTTAGATTTACAAATGTAAGTAGTTTATTGGCCCTACCCCACAAGGATACTACTCTGTAGTGATAAGACAGCCTATCAAAAGAGGAAATAAAGATCATTAGCCAAAGTAGAACACTGTGAACCTTAAGAATTTTCCACTTGAAGTGGAAGAATGGAGAGTTGGAATATTTCAAATGAAGAGGGTCAAATCAAATTAATTAGAATATGCAAAACAGTAGACCACTATACTTTAGAAATTTCATGGAAGGCATAATTTTTTTTGTTTTCTATAATGCATGAAAGCCAATTGTATGAAGACTCTTTTTCATAGCTTCATTTGTAGCAATATTTAGAGTTAACCGATAACTAAAACTAAGAGCAGTTTCCTTCTCTAAAAGTCCCAAACACTAGGCACTTCCTCATGTATTTGGGATACTTAGGAGATTTAACATACAATAGTTTATGTTGCAGAGAACCTTCTACACAACATGAATATCAAACCCCAGAAAATCTGCAAGAATCTCCTAATACAAAAATTCTTCCCCCAGTCATAAAACATCATGAACTGAAAATTGTTTTTTACAAAAAAAACCTGAACTTCCACACAAATGAAACAAAACAAATTAAAAAAAAAAAAAAAAAGAAAAACACAAAAAACCAAACACAAAACCACTAAGGCTATTCTAATTCAAGAGAAAGCCAAGTATTCTCATACACCTTTATCCTCAGGTGCCAGCTGCAATTCCTAGAACACTTTCTGCTGACCCAGTTGTCTATCATCCATCAGTAAAATAACTCCCAATCCCTGTAGCCATGGAGAAGTGAGTTTGCATGTGTAAGAAACAGCTCCTCCCCTGCTGAAAAACCCACAGCAAAAACAGCACTTTCACTCCACTACAATTGACCTGCTTCAGGTAGTAAAGAAACCCAAGGACACATGTTCTAGTTTCATTCTCGGTTCTTTTCTATCTGCTTTTTGCTCGTGTAAACCTTCTTTGATCCAGCATTAAACTTTTGCAATTCAAAATCTTATCATAGATTTCTGACCTACTTTCTAGAACCCTTGACACACCAAGGCAGACAGAAGGCTGAAAAACTATTTTTTTCAGTTCCCTTTCTCACAGACTTACAAGAACACCTTCATGATTTCTTCATTAAGAAGCTCTTGAACAGTGAATGTATGTTTTTGCTTTTCTGTGTGTTATTTGTGACTGATGGGGAAAGCAGAGACATTCATAGGTTCTCATTCAGCAGTTATCCATTGCTTCTTCAGAAACCATATCCAGAGTAGTATAGGATCAAAAATACAAACGTGAGGGGAGAAAAAAACAAAGCTTAAGAGCTTGGAGAAGAAAAGTGATGTAGCTGATGATAGGTATGATCTACTAAGAAGTGACATGCTCAGTGCAGCTGTGAAAGAAGTACAAAGAATTTAAAAACAGAATCAGCACCACTCAGCTCTTGACAGTAAGTGCTTTATCAAGAGTTTATATCAAGGACTTCATGGTAAAATGACTCATATTAATCTCAACTAATCTCAATCCAGGCCATCGCAATTTAAATGTAGTACAATCTAGCTGTCCTGTTTTTGGGTTCAATGGCTTTGGACACAAACTGGTATGGTTGTGCACCACTAATATTACACTGTACAACTAGGCCACGTGTTCAGAACAGCAAAGCCTAAATAGCACAAGGCCTTAATAACTACACTTACTTAGAAGAGTATCCCAAAAAGAAGGCTCAAACGAGCAGCCTGTTTATTACTTAATTCAGCACAATTTTATAGGTACTCAGTGTTGTTAGTTCTTTCCTGTATATGGTTTCTCCAGCTTTCTAATTGCTATAATTCATCAATAAAAGTCAAAACATAATTGTCTTTTATGTAATCTCCGTGATGCAACAACTGTCTGAAGACAAACTATTGGCATAGTGTAGTCAAACAGGTTCAAATAAAGGCATTTAGTTATATATCTATGGTTAATCAAATAAAAGCCAAGATGGAAATATTGTTGGAAAATTATGTACAATATCACCCCAACTTGTAACATACTACTTCTTTTTAAAATGCTTTTTTGGGTTTGGAGACAACATTTTCCATCCAGGTCTTACTATACTTATCTTATGTGCTAGACTGAATATACCTAAGTATACCTTTTTACATCTTTCATTCTCTGTGGCAGGAAAAATCCATGGAATGTGATTCTGGTATACCAAATTAGTATTGACAGTACAAGTTCAGGAAAGTCTTCAGTAGGATTGTCAGCTGACCATCTTAGATGAGACTGATTATAGAAAATATTTATTTTAAATGAAAATGGCATTTATAGTGTCAGTTAAACTGGAGGTCAGTTTTTAGACCCAAAGGCAAAAGGTCTGAAAGTAATAGCATCAATCAAGTAAAATGCATTCCAATTAAACAGTGACTTTTCTAGTTCAGCAAATTGCATTATTGATAGAAGATTGCTTTTGGAAAAGTCACAAAGTTCAGAACACAAGAGGTGGAGCATTCATATAAATTCATTTAAACTACAATGAAGTTAGGCTAAGTCCTGGCTTTTTACTTATTCCAATTTCTTGAAGAAATTTCTGGGAGCTCTAAAGCTTGTATTTTTCCAGCTACATCAGATGGTCTGATAACACATGTTACCTCTCTATAAACTGTGCTCTTTCACTAAATCAGCAGTGCACTTCAAAGCAGAGAAGGCTAAGTTCATATGTGCAGTTTGCAGTGTTTATTTTTGATGTTACAAGCTGATATAGCTAACAATTGTAATCAGGAGAAAACCATATCATAAAGTGGAATAGATATTGTGTAACCAATAAGCCCCGATTTCTGTTTCACTTTTGCAAAAAATTTTTTCCTGGGAGCAAGAGGAACGTAAGGTCTCAAGGAATTGAAAGGGTTTACAAGGAGTCAGATGCGGAAGCCACAGTCGTGGGCGGTGAAAATGAACTAGGTAACCCCTCGAGGCTGCTGAAAATCACACCGCTAAGCGCCGTGTAGGGCAGTATTATGAAATCAGGACAGAGTACAGTAAACCCCCTGAAAACGGGTCAGCGGACCTAGGATAAGCTTTCTTCCTCTGCGTTGGGTGGAAGAAGGGCAAGGGGGAAGGGAAAGGGAGAGAGGACATGTATTAATATGTAACTCCAGACTCACCGATTTTGGCCAAGCTGGCCACAAGTATCCAGAGTGCAATGATATACGGCTCCTTGACGTGCTCCCATTTGAAAGAGACGATGGCAAAGCTTTGGCTGCTATTTTTATGGCTTTCCGAGCTTCTCTGTCCCAGCGCCGCTGGGAGAGCCATCAGCCCCAGGAGGAGCGCCACTCCAAATACCTGCCTCATCTTCAAGCCACACAACACAATCCTGCTTCCCCTTCCCGGAGAGATCCCGCCTCTTCGGAGGTCCTTGGGGGCGAGGTCCTTGTCCCTCGGCGGAGACGCGCCCGTCGGCTGAGGACGGCGGGACAGCGGCGGGCGGCCGGCGGCGGCGGGGTCCCCTCCTGTCCCGCCCGTGTCCCGCAGCGGCTGGCCTGCTGGTGCCAAAGGGCGGGTCAGGGGCTCCGTGCACAAGCGGATGCTTCGAGCTGGGGTCCCGCTGCTCGCCCGCACCTGCCTTTATCAGGCTGTTCCCGATGGGGCGGAGGCGGAGCCTCCCTCCGCTCCCGCAGCGGCCGCCGTGCGGGGCCGGCGATGCCCTGACGGAGTGACGGAGATCCCGGGGTCGGCGGGCAGCTCCGCTCGGCTCCGCACGGCTCCGGGCTGTGTCCGGGCTGTGTCCGTGTCGCTGGGCAGCGAGCAGCAGCGGCCCGGAGCTACTGGAGCTCGGAGCCGGGACGCCCTCGGGCATGTCCTAGGGGAGCCCGGGATCCGAGCCCACAGCGCAGCCGGGTGCGCGGGACATCCACAGGTCTCCGCTCCTTAGCGCTTTGGATGCTTTTGTGTCAGCCTGTCTCCCTCAGCCCCACTCTCCCCGAGGTTATCTCAGAGGAAACGCGCTCTTTCCGCTCCTCAGCCTCGAGTCCCCGTCTGAGCTCGGTCTGGCTCACCGAGGGCACAGCAGCATGTTTCTTGGACCAGCTTTTCCTTCTGTCCACCAGAGAGCACCTCTTCCCACGGTGCTCGGGGAAAGGACACCAGCAGGCAACATTCGGCTTTCCACTTAGGTCTGCTTGCAGCTGCTTGTTAAGATGTGCCATGTTAAAAACGTTATCTGGCCTTTTTTTTTTTTTTTTTTTTTTTTTTTTATTTCTTACACGGTGAGACCTCCTCTTGGGAGGTTCTACTCTCCCCCTAAAGCCTGTTTTCCTGCTGATAGCATCTACCTGCTCTCCCGGATGGTCCGTGTCATCGTGGGTGCATGGTGCTGCAGGCAGACCCATGATAATCATCACCCTGCAGTGAAAGGGCAGCAAAGCATCCTGCTCCCCACGGGCAGAGCTGAGGGCGCCCTTCCATACACACACACACACACACCTCGGCAGCAGCTCCTCTCCGCTCTCGGGTGCTCCAAAACAATCTGTGTGCGGTCCACTCCTCCTGTGACTTTCTCTGGAAAAACACTCCCTTTTGTTTTCCTAACATGACAGCTGGTTTTATTAGATGGTAAAAAAATGAACAGGATAAAGCTCTCCTTTAAAATTATTGGAAAACAGAGAAAATATTTTGATTATGTTAATCACTAAGGAGTGATCATCTGTCCTGCACAGGCACTCTATAAATCAATTAGCTAGTTAATTAAATCGCTATAAATTTCCATGGAATATTATTGTCATTTTTACCTCAAAGCAACTGCAGGCCCCAAATCGGACCAACTGTCTTCAAACAATGAAACATCTTCGGGGCTTTATTTCCTTTTTCATTTTTCAAGGGAAAGAAAATTATGTGGGAATTATTTAAGTAGGAGTGAATCTGAAGACAGAATTGGCAACTTTTTTTAGGAAGCATGACAGACAGCAAAATATCTCCTTCACATTCAGTAAATTATGTAGACAAACACCTGAAGAATTCTTCAGTATCTAGCAATAAATTCTATCCACATTATTTTTATCTTTTTCTGAGCATGACTTGGGCACCCAAATGTTGTTTAGAATTTGCTCCTAAGTTCTGTAAGTGTTCTACAAATGGCTGTAGCCTGAGAAACATTTTTGTGGATTGCCAGTCGAGACAGAAAACTGCAGCTGGAAGTAGGTAGCTGCTCATCTGTCTAACCTGTTGCTGAGCCCTGTGGAGGGTAGTAGTTCCTAGGCATTAACATGGATTCTGTTTGCTACTATTAGGAGAACCACAAAGTTCAGTAGGGACAAGCTGTCAGCACTGTTTTTACTGTCACAAGTTATTCCAAGTGTCCTCATGCCACAATTAAATATTTCAGTTGCAGCAAATAAAAGGGCACCGCAACTGCCAGTGCTCCATCTTATATTCATGATTCTTCCCAAATCTAGTTCCTAAAAATGCTGACTGGGTTAGGAAAAATCTTTCTATTGAAAGGGCATGTTGTCCAGATGGTCACCATTAAATGTGTCATAGATAAGAATACCTGCAGCAGAGCTAGAAAAATGAGAAAGCCTTCTCCAGTGGATCTTTTCTAGAGATAAGCAAAGGCTTGGAGGAGGAGCAGCAGTTGAGATCATGCCTCTGATTGCCCTTAGGCAATGTTCTACCCATGACAACAGTAACCAAAGTTACATGCCAATTCTGAGTTTGCTGGTGGAGAAAAACAGTATTAGGGAAAAAAGTTGTATCATCTTCTAAAAACAAGGTTTACAACACTATTAAAATGCCAACACTATTTCTTTTAACCACAACAATTTAATAGTTCAAAGTATGTTTGTGACTGCTTATGGAATTTCTTTAAGTTGGCAGTGTATCAAATGACTGTAGATATCAGGGAATTGTGTAAGTCATTAATATTTCAGCAGGACACAGAGAGGACAGAGGAAAGGACTGACAATCGTGAACCTGCTATAAACACATGCTAAACCAAGAGTCCACCGAGTACACATGAACTCTTGTACAAAATATGTACTTGTACGAGAACACATTTGCATACATGTATTTTTTATCAGAGTCCATTTTCTTGTTCGTTCTTTATGGAAGCCCTTACATAGTCTCCTATAACCTGACTCTGTATCAGTGACAAAAAACATTGGTTGAGTATTATGCATGCAATAAAGATATCATATCACACAACAGCTGATATTTCCTGACTTCCAGAATGATTGCACAAGGAAAATTTCTACTTACTGTAAAAATAATGGTGTTGTGTCCTGAGGTAGGGTTGTTTTGGTTTTTTTTTCAGCAATTGACTGAACTTCATCATTGTCATTTCTGGAAACATTGTGTACATAACAGCTTTAAGAAAAGAATTAAGAGTATCTTAGTATAAGTGTTACATAAGTATCTTATATACCCTTCACATGACCTGTGACCTGTAAAGATTATTTCTCAGTGATTTTTTCAAAGCCGAAGTAAAAGACAATCTCAGTTTAAAAAAATCCCTAAAATTGTATCTGTTTTCTCCAGAAAGCACACACAGTATTTAAGTTATGCTAAACTTAGATGCAGAAGCTACAATTAACTTTTAATACTAGCATTTGCCACAAATCTGTGTAAGGTGATATGAAATTAAGAAGCCCATCCCTGTCAAACTGAGAACTCTCATGAAAGGAAAAATAAATTTAAAAGTACCAAAATATTTGGCAAGAGAAGCATGAAAAATCTCCTGATGCAACATAAACCAAATAAATCACAAATCATCACTCCTGTCTTTCCTCAATAAAATGCACTATTTTTATATTAATGTCTATTAAATGCATAAGCAGGCTAAGATTTTAATGGAATTTAGTTCCAGTGTATATTTTTATGCCATGATGCCAACTGTATACAAAGTTAAATAGAACAGTAATTATTGCGAATGGCATTGTACCAATAAAACTGCACAATTTGGTGAAAGTAAATGTGGTTTATATGCAGAACCACAGAAATTTATAGTGAATTAAGTGATTCAACAGCTTGTCAGCTGTTTTTGCCAACTACTCTCTAAGTGAAATGAGTGCTGCTGTGCAAATTGATGCTGCAAGGAGTTGCTGGACTAAGTTGCAGAGCACTGTGTTACGACATTATAAATATAAACCTCTGAAATTACATTAGAAAGTGTATTAATTCAGCCCACACACATTACTACGAGTTAAAGTGAATAAGATGAAGACTAGGGTGAGAATGAATTAATTAAGAGAGGTAGTTGGAAATAGATTTGGCTGGGAAGTAGGGTGGAAGAGGAAATAAGATGAATTCTTCATGACTTATTTCAAGACAAGATTCACTTTAAGGAAAGAAAGTGAAGGGGATTCTTACCAGAACCTTCATTTTTAGCCTCAAATATTTTTGAAATTGGCAGATATTTTGAGCAGATTGAGAGACTGTGATAATTCTATTAGATTAGAAGTTAATCTAGTAGGAGTGGGACAGTATGAACAGCACACATTGACACAGCCTAGAACCTTCATTAAGGAGAGTCCTCCCCATAAGGGATTATATCTCTGTGAGCTCTCAGTGCCACGAACAGTGAAAAGTGAATGGGACAGAAAAATAATTTCTTACATGTCACCAAACATCTGATACTTTTTATCATTTATGTTCAGGAAAAAAAAAAAATACACATTTTTATAAAATGCCATGTGTATTAAAAGTACTCTTTATTTCAGTTCCAATTTCAAAGAAAATTCTTCTATTGTTTATGAGGACTCTTCTGGGCTTGCTACTAGTCAAAGATGGCCACAGAGATTTCCACCTGTCACAGTCTGCATCTTCCACACATTCCATCTTGTACTCACTGTATTCCCATGTTATTTGCATCCCACTCATATTTCTCTTTGTTCTCCATGTCTCTGCTCTCTTTCCTTTTCATGCATGCCTTCTGTCAATACTCACCAAAAATCCCTAGTAGTGAAGCCTAACAACACTCAAAACGCAATTTGTGTATGATGTTTAAACCAAATACTTAAGATTTTCTCTCTCTATCCCTTCCAATTCAGCTTTGTCAGTTTCCACCACATATATTTCTTCTGGGTACTCACATCAGCCTGGCCAACACAAGTGTTTATAGTAGACACAAGACACAAGTGATTACTGGTTTCTCTAGCCATAATGGAGATTTTATTTGCTGATCTTTAAAAATCATCATTTTTTTAATGCTAAAAAAGCTGGAGGAAGACTGGGACAGAAATGACAACCACAGATTTCAGAGATCCAGAGGGGAAAAAAGGAAAATAAAGGTGCATCTTGGCATTGTTTCTGTGTACCAAAACTTCCGGTAGCTTAACCTGAAAGGAAAAGCAAAACAGATTAATTTCTTAGGAAAACCAGAAAGACCCCTAAATAACAAAGGCAGCTAAGAAGAAAAATTTCAATTACTAACATGATCATTTTACACTTGTTTCTTATGT